ACCACTGTTAGTCTTGATGTGAAAGACAAATTGTTGAGCCAGTGCTGGAGTTTAATTTATGGTTAGGTTTAAAACAATCTTATGTGTAATTGATATTGGCTAGTAATTGTATATGACATGTGAAGACAGTTTTGATGTTGACCAGTAGGGGTCAGAAATGCTGATTGTATGGTAAAATACCCTTTAACCCCCTTCAGGATACATGAATCCCTTTTATTCCAGAGTTTGGTCCTTAAGGGGTTAATCCAAATGCAAGGTTAACGTGAGATTTTGAGAGTGACCTGTAGGGGTCAGTGTGGTTTACATGAAACATTGTTCGTGAGCTATGCCCCAGCATTATAGTTGTATGACAGGGAAACAAACAGTGCCCGTTTGACAATATACAATATGTGAACATAATAGCTTAATAACAGTCATTGTAACAAACCAAAGTTCCGTTAGTGGGTTGTAAACGCACAAAACGTGTGTGTAGTACAGTAGTAAATGCATGAACTAGTTCCCGTTTGGTAGTAAATTGCACGAACCGTGAGCCTGGCATGTCAGGGAAACCAAACGAAACGAGCAGTGAGATTTGAAATGCACGCACAGAATTGCCTAGTATGTTTAGGTAATTGAAACAGAATGTGTTCCCGTTTGGGAGTATGCTAAAGCTCAAAATGAGCCAGTGACAGATATAAAAAAGTGAATTTAAACGAATGATATGCATGAACATGCAATGGTTTTAGGACAGATTTAGACAAAATGCAGCCGTAAAGTGAGGACCTGACCCGTGCAACTGATGCCTGGCGTAACGGGTAGGTCGACTTACGGTTTGTGAGCCACTTGGACACCATCCACAGCGATAGATTGAAGAAAAAGCTGGTAGGCCGGAAAAGCCTGTGGCTGGATTTCTGACACAGCTCAGCTTAGAAAACCTCATGGAGTAAGCAGGTAAAATGGCGTCTGGATGACCCGGAAGTGGAAATCATTCTGATGCTGACCTCAAGCAACAGGAAATGACCAAGCACTGTCAGCAAGGTATGGAGGTAAGTAGTGGGTTTATATAGGCCGGTTGCAACCCCTCCCACAACTCCAGGCTCCGCCTTCCCATATATTATATATATACGTGTAATTTAATTATAAGTGTATTTTTATATGAATATATGTGCATATTAATATAAAAATACACTTAGTATGACATTATATATATATATATATATATATATGATATATAGACATATGTCTACACATATATATATATATATATATATATATATATTTTTTTTTTTATTAACTTTAATTTTGTAATGATTTTACACTAGCGGGGAGACTGCCTGTCAGCACAGGCAGTCCCCCTGCAGCAGGGCCGGATTAACATAGGGGCTGATGGAGCTGCAGCTCCAGGCCCAGGCCCAGGCCCATGGAATAGGCCCATTTAAAAAAAAAATATATATATTTTTTTTACACACTACTCTTAGGTTTGCCACCTGACTGGTATTTTAATGGCACAGATGGTATTTGAGGCTGCTTGGCCGGGCCGGTATTGCAGTAATACCGGCAATACAAATGCAGGTAATAAATGGAAATTACTCTGCAATACCAGCACCGGCCAGTTGGGGTCACTGTGTGTGGAGAGAGGCAGGGATAGAAAGTTACAGAATATCCCTGCCTCTCTCTACTACTTACTGATCCGTGGGGGAGCAGCTACACAGCACAGAGAGTCCAGACAGCAGCTCTACAGCTCAGGTAACTAAGGGATGGGGGGAAAGGCAGCAGGGACACATGGGGACACTGAGACACTAGGGGACACATGGGGACACTAGGGGACATACGGGGACACAGACACTAGGGGACATATGGGGTCACAGACACTAGGGGACACTGAGACATTAGGACACATGGGGACACAGACACTGGGAGACGTGGGGACACTGGAAAACATGGAGACACTGAGACACTAGGGGACACTGGGACACATGGGGATGCTGAGACACATGGGGACGCTGTGAGACATAGGGACATTGGGAGACATTGGGACACGGAGACACTATGTCCCCCAGCCAGTGTCCCTAGTATCTCAGTGTCCCCAAGTCTCCCAGTGTCTGTTTTCCATGTCTCTCAGTGAGCCTAGTGTCCCCATGTCTATGTCCACAACTGTCCCCTTGTCTCCCCAAGTGTCTGTCTCCCAGTCAGTGTCCCCTAGTCTCCCAGTATCCCCTAGTCTCCCAGTGTCTGTGTCCCTAGTGTCTCAGTGTGCCTGGTGTCCCCATGTCTCCCAGTGTCCCTATATGTCCCAGTGTTCACATGTCTATGTCCACAACTGTCCCCGTGTCTCCCAGTGTCCCCAAGTGTCTGTCTCCCAGCCAGTGTCCCCTAGTCTCCCAGTGTCCCCTAGTCTCCCAGTGTCTGTGTTGCCATGTCTGTGTCCCTAGTGTCTTAGTGTCCCCAAATGTTTCAGTGTCCCCATGTTTCCCAGTGTCTGTGTCCCTAGTGTCTCACTGTCCCCATTTCTCCCAGTGTCCCCATGTCTCTGTGTCCCCGGGTCTCTGTGTCCCCGGGTCTCTGTGTCCCCATGTCTCTCAGTGTCCCCATGTCTCTCAGTGTCCCCAGTATCCTAGTGACATGGGGACACACTGAGACATTGGGACACTGGGAGAAATGGGGACACAGACACTGGGAGACTAGGGGACTGGGCGACATGGGGACACTGACACTGTTTTACATAGGGACACTGAGACACTCGGTGACTTGCAAGACTGAGACACTGGGATACAGGGAGACACTGGGAGCAATCCATCTATACAGCAGAATCAAACTGTGAGTAGTTTGTTGGTGATTTTACAGAATTTTCTCTGATGTCACTCCTTGTGATTTACATCATGTGATGTCACGCATAACGAATTAATTATACAAATGATTAAGGCTGGTATTTTTTTCCAAGAAAGGTGGCAACCTTAAAGGACCACTATAGTGCCAGGAAAACATACTCGTTTTCCTGGCACTATAGTGCCCTGAGGGTGCCCCCACCCTCAGGGTCCCCCTCCCGCCCGGCTCTGGAAGGGGGAAAGGGGTAAAAACTTACCTTTTTCCAGCGCTGGGCGGGGAGCTCTCCTCCTTCGAACCTCCTCCGTTCCTCCTCCTGGCCTGAATGCGCACACGCGGCAAGAGGTGCGCGCGCATTCAGCCGGTCGCATAGGAAAGCATTTACAATGCTTTCCTATGGACGCTGACGTGCTCTCACTGTGAAAATCACAGTGAGAAGCACACAAGCGCCTCTAGCGGCTGTCAATGAGACAGCCGCTAGAAGCTTTGGGGGAAGGCTTAACCGATTCATAAACATAGCAGGTTCTCTGAAACTGCTATGTTTATAAAAGAATGGGTTAACCCTAGCTGGACCTGGCACCCAGATCACTTCATTAAGCTGGTCTCTCTAACACTGTGGCATGTCCCCTTTCTTCTACACTCACTACAGACACCTTTTCTCTGTCTCAGACTATATACCAGGAACTTCTGCCTGCTAGTAAGAAGGTAAGGAGACAAGTGGACCAGCGAGTGCTAGGGGACAGTCCTTAGAAACAATGGAGTGAGCGCATCACTAGACGCATTTATGTCAAGCTCAAGGTGCAGCCTGCATAGTATGCCCTTAGTTGGACAGCCTGCAGGATTGACGGGCAGCCTGACATGCATTCATGCCAGGCTGGCCTTCCAATTCTTTGGACAAACATGCCCCCTTTTTGGGCATGTTCACCCCTTTTGGCAGGTCTTGTCACGTGATTCGCGCCAGTGGCACACCCTTTTACCCAGCCCATTGACTTCCTGCTTCACTGGCCACTGTTAGGGGTTATGGATTTACTTGAAAGATGAAAGCATAAATTAGAGAGAAATTAGCATAGAGTATGTGTTTTCTTATAGCTGCATCCTATGAGTTTTCCTCCAGCACCATCTCCATCAGATACATGACGCTTGGGAGGTATGATTGTTTTAGTGTTTTTGGTCGATAAGATTCAGTAATTAGGCCCATCATAATTGTCAGCACCAGGCCCACTGTGCTCTTAATCCGGCCCTGCCCTGCAGGCATACACATGGACACCTATTGTGACCATATGATCGCTCTGTTGAGCGATCACATGGCCCCAGGGTCCTAATCCGCCATGGGGAGACTGTCTGGGGAACGACAGCGATCGGGTAAGTACATTGGACCGTTAGGACGGTTCAGGACCGTCACCGGTCCGCAACGCAAAAATGCCGATGATGGTCCTGAACCGTCCTCGGTCCTGAAGAGGTTAAAGGACCACTATAGTGCCAGGAAAACAAACAGGGTACCACTCCCACCGGGCTGAAGGGGGAGGAAGGGGTTAAACACTCGGCTTTCTCCAGCACCAGGCTCCCTCGGCGCTGGGGACTCGCCTCCCTCTTCTGACGTCATCGACCGAATGCGCGGCAAAAGCCCCGCACGCATTCAGCCAGTCTCATAGGAAAGCATTCGCAATGCTTTTCTATGGACGCTGGCGTCTTCTCACTGTGATTTTCACAGTGAGAAGCGCCTCTAGCCGCTGTCAATGAGACCGCCACTAGAGCTGAAGTGGTCTGGGTGTCTATAGTGGTCCTCTAACAGTTAGCTTCACTCAATTATTATTCCAACCGTAAGAAAGAAAAGAAATAGTGAAGGGCAGATAGGAAGACATTTAGGGTTGTGAGATTTAACATTAGGGTAAAGAGATAATTTAGCCTCAGTCAATTATTATTATAACCCCAAAAAATAGAAATATTGGAGGGCAGAAAACTGAAAAGGTCTGGGTATCTTTCCTGTCTGGCTAATTTGGACTCACATTTGCAAATCTATCATCATTACTACACAATCCTCCTAGCAATAATTATATATATATAAACAATAATAAACTAGGATTAAACCATAATGCCAATTTACGTCAAGTGGTCCTCGGTATTTTATGTATAACGTTCCACTATGTTCATTCACTGTTCATGTTTCCTTTGTTAATAAAGTTATGTGAAACGCGCCTAATCGATTTCCAAGTGGCGCTGTTTAGTGACGTAGAAGTGCCACGCAATTACCGTGCGCCGTGGTGAAACATGGCTGAGAAGAAGGGGAGCTCGCAGGGGTCAGCACCCAAGTATGCGCAACGCATTGATCCCAAGAAAGATAAGCTTAGCCCTGAACAGCAACAGTCCATGAGGAGGGCGGAGGTAGCGCAGTGGGGAAGAAATGTTGGGAAACTGCGGAGTAGGAACCTAATAACCGGACTTGCTATTGGTGGCATCGTTTTGAGTATATGTATCCTTTTCCGAACTTCATGTTAATAATGCGATTAGCCTAATGAGGAATTAATGTCGCCAGTGTGTTCGGGCATAAATAGTTGTTTAATTTAGGCAGAGGCAAGGTTTAGCACGATTTCGCTGGTGAGTTGCATGCCCTTGCTTTTGAACTTGAACCTGTCAAGCTGTTTTGAGATGTAGCAACACAAATGGTAGTTGTAGAGTCATGTCTTAAGTAGCCCTATATTTAACATAGGTCGACCAAATGTTTGTTAATGTCGGTTATAAGAACTTTGCTGATTAAGGGTAGAGCTCAGCTTATTTTATTTTTTTAATAGTTTAACATTTTTAATGTTCTTTCCATGCTTTATTAAGGAAATTTGATAGTTGCTACTTACCCGGACTTGCCTTCAGTAGCAGTTTTTGCAAAGTTAGAGGGTTATTCCCGAAAAAGTGAGAATTCAAAGGTCTAACTAGCCAAATTGAAAATAAAAAATTCTCTAAGTTAGCTGTGCTTTCATTTCATCTACTCCTGCATTTGTATATATTTTTTTGCTACTTAAATGCGACCTCCGTAAGTTTTTATGTACATCCATGACTTTCAGAAATAATCCACATGTGTATTTTGTTTTGTTTTATTTTATGTTAGTGATTTTAAATTAAAGTCCCTAAGCATAGTTATATGGTCAATATCACAGCTGTAGCAGCCATCATCAAAATGAAAAACAAATACATTCAAATCTTATTTAGGTATTCAAAGCGGTTTATTGAGCCAGGCAAAAACACTCAAAAGTATGCTTGAAAATGCAATAAACATATTGGACACGCAGGTCCTAACGTCAGTGCAAACATAGTAAATAGCGTGATACAGCGATATAGTTTTCTGTAATGCAGGCTAAATACCAGCGTACTGTGCATCGGTGCACAGTGATAGCAGCGACAGTGTCTTGACCAACTCCTTGCAACAGGAGTAAAGGTTGTTGCTCACATGCAATACAACATTAACCAGTAAACAGTACCTAATGGGTATAGAGCGGACAATGATTGTGCGGCAATAGGTATGCGGAGTATCTATTAACGACGGTGTCTGTGAGCGGATAAATTCTGGCCCTCCCTTCTAGGTGGAGGGCAGCAATTGTAGGAGCTTGGAAAGGGAAAAATAAAGGCTGAAGTCATAGCAAAGAAAATGAATGGGCCAATGAAAGAACGACACTGGGAGAGAAGAAGGTGGAAAGGGGGGGGGGCAGAAGCTGGGAGCTAGCCCACAAGCCTGGAGTGTGCAGCCATGTGGTGGTTAAGGTATGAAGGATGTATCTGTCAAGAGGGCGGTCCAGAAGCGGGATAGGAGTGATCCAACTCCTTTTCTTATGCCAGTGTCTCCGCACCCCCCCATATAAGCCAACCACGGCCACCACCTCTCCACTTGCATCTCCTATGGGACAAGGGGGGGTGATCACTATGGGACAAGGGGAGGGAGTGATCACTGAAGAAGAGGGAGGGGAGAGGAACATTAAGCAGGGGGGACCACTAAAAGAGAAGGGAAATTTTTCATATTAGATTGAATTCATTAAAAAGTCAAATAACATTTTAGGAAAAAAACTTATTTTAAATTTGGGGAAACAAGTCCTTTTCGGCCAAAGGCATCCTGAAAGGATGCTCATCAATGTGCCCCTAATTACGCTTTTGTGGGCTTCATAGATTGTGGTCGCGGTGAGTTTGCCCGGTGTGTTCAGTTCAAAGTAGGAGGTAAGAGCTTCAGACACTTGTTTTCTAGCTTTCAGGTCTAGTGGAAGTGAATTGCGCAGGCGCCATGACCAAGTGTCCAGGCGTGTCTGCGGTCAATCCATCTCCAGGACCACCAGGCCGTGGTCCGATCTCTGCTGTTTGGATGGTTGAAGTTGTTCTTGTAGTAGGAATATATATTATATTCTCGAGTATAGTCTGTGGAACGCAGAGTAATGGGTGTATTCTTAATCCTCCGGCTGCATTGCTCTCCAGCAATTTACCAGTCTCTGATTCTGTAAAGCCCCTTGCACTATGCTGCTATGGCCCGTGGAAGAGTCAACTAGAGGATGCAGGGGAACGTTAAAGTTGCCTCCCAAAAGCAACGTCTTGAGATTGATTATTATTAGGTACGTATATTGTTGCAAACGTGTATCTGCGGTCCTGAATATCTCCTTCAAGAAGAGGTACCTGCCACCTTGATCTATTACTCTGTCCATCTCTTGGCATTGTAACCTTGCCTCCAGGAGTATAGCTACTCCCGCTTTACGTGCTGTAGGGTGGTTACTGCAGATGGCCTTGGGGTATTGTTTGCTTTTCAAGAGTGGTGCTGCCCCTGCCTTAAAGTGTCTTTCCTTTATGAATGCTATGGAGATGCGACGCCTATGCACCTGTCCCCAACATCCCCCATAATGCTGCCATGAATAATGATCAGGAAAAGAAAATTACAGTAAGTATGAAAAATTTTCCATATTCCTAATCAATCGTGGCAACACGGGGGGGGGTGTGTGTGTGTGTGTGTGTGTGTGTGTGTGTGTGTGTGTGTATGTGTATGTATATATATATATATTTTATAGAGAGCGGGACAGAGTTCAAATATAACTAATAGTTATAAAAGTCATCATTGAGCTGCATAAACCTTAGACTTAAAAAAAGCCAAACAGTAATAAATAGGATATTGTCAAAGAATCTGTTCAGACAAGTAAAATTACCCAAGGGGCTTCAAGGTCAGCAACCACCTGGTATTCAAATGTCAGAAATATCCTGGAGAAATATAGAGCCAGATAGGCATTAAGGTCATGCTAACCAAACATATTAAAGAAACAAGGTTAGACTAATACAATACAGATTCCTCTAAGAAAAAGACACCCGTCCTGTTATAGATAATAAAAAACTAAATTTGATAAACTCCATAAAACCAAGACCCGGTCTAGAATTATAGACCTATAATGTCCTTCACAAAAAGAAAATGCAATACCAAATGGATGGCGGTATCAAACAGAAGTGTCAGATGAAAACGGTCACCGCCTGTTTTATAGCAGGGTGAGAATTAAGCTGAAAATCCTATTATTTTCTGGATGTATTTATTGAGGAAGATTCAGACTGCTTCGTCTTGCTTAGGGAACTACACACCTGTAGATACAAGAAATAGAATAATATCTGCCTGTAAGAGAAAGGCAGAGCCTAGTAGAGAAATGTCTGTTATTAAAACACAGCAATAATTATGTTTATATAGCGCCAACATATTTCCGCAGCGCTTTACAGTGGGTGGACAAACAAACATGTAGTTGTAACCAGACAAGTTGGACACACAGTCACAGAGGAGTTGAGGGCCCTGCTCAATGAGCTTACATGCTAGAGAGAGTGGGGTAAAGTGGCACAAAAGGCAAGGATAGTATTAGACTAATGACAGTTGCAAGAGAGGAATCAGTTGGGAGCTATGACTATATATTGCAAAAATCAGACTCAACAATACCTCCCACTGTGAATGAATTGTTTGATACAGTAATGAACATTTACAGGAGAGGTAGAAACTAGAGTTGAGCGGACACCTGGATGTTCAGGTCGGGCGGGTTTGGCTGCACTTAAAAAAACGGGATAGAACTTTTGGGCATAAAAATGCCTCTAAAAAAGTCCTGGAATGGGCTAGAGGGCTGCAAAAGGAAGTAAAATGGGGGTAAGAGTAGGATAAGTGCCCTGCAAACAAATGTGGATAGGGAAATTACTTAAAATAACACAAAATTCATACAAATAAAAAATATAGCTGAGCCATAAAATAGCACTAGATGGAATATTTGATTTTAGCTTTGGAAGAACATAAATCAAAATCTAAAGCATGGCTGTCAGGAAGATCACCAGAATTATCCATTTGAGAGGGTTGGATGGTATTCTCTTTCATTGTTGAAACTTAGCTCAACTCCTGATGCATGGAGAAAAGGCCTTCACAAGCCTCTGCCTTTGTGTACATAGTTTATACTAAGTAACCCATAGGTTGAGGAGGCGGTGACCTTGGCGGTGTAGGTGGAAGCAGCGGTGGAGGAAGAGGAGGTAGCCAACACTGGTAGCCCCCAAAATATTGGGACATATAAAAAAAAAACTCTGTTCCGCAGAGCAACTGACCCGTGCGTGCTGCAGCTGAAACTCCACTATCGCCTGCTGCTGCTCGTACAGTCTCATGAGGCGTTGAGCGGGAAGGCCGAAGTTGCAGGGTGAGAATGCCAAAAGTGCGCACAGGCGGCTCGCCATTTCTGCAGCAGCTCTGATATATCTGGGTAGTTTTTCAGGAGTTTCTGCACCACCAAATTCAGCACATGCGCCAGGCAAGGGATGTGCGGCAAATCGGCTAGTCCAAGAGCTGAGAGCTGCTATGAGATTTTACCCATTATCACACACCACCAGGCCGGGCTTGAGGCTCAGTGGCAACAACCACTCATCGGTCTGTTGTTTCATGCTCATCCACAGCTCCTGTGCGGTGTGGGGTTTTTCCCCCAAACATATGAGTTTGAAAACAGCCTGCTGTCGTTTCCCCCTGGCTGTGCTGAAGTTGGTGGTGAAGGTGTTACGCTGACCGGATGAGGAGGTGGTAGAGGAGGAGGAGGAGGAGGAGGAAGAAGCGGAGTAGGAGGAGGCAACAGGAGGCAAAGCTGTGTACCCAAATAAAGATTGAACTGTGTCCCATCCGGATACTGGGGAAATGGTTCTGACCTATTCTAATCAAAGGGGTAACCATCGGTTTCCCATGTCCCTGCCAACAGACCCATGGACTACAGTGCTCTAAAGCAACCTACACTGCAGGACTTGTGTGGAGCCAGAGGAATAACGCATGCAGTCACCCCCGAGCAATACGCCGAAAGTTTAGGGAGACCCGGAAAGGGGAGAAGGACTCCCATGCGGAGTGGGCATGCCGCATCACAAGGTCCACCCAGAACTGGCTCAACTCCCATCAAGCCAAGTTCCCAGAGATCACCCAGCTCGTCATGCTAGAGCACTTTTTCAATGGGCTCCCGAACGACAAGGCGACGACGCATTCGTATGTCATCAACTTTCGATGCCACTTTCTGCGCCTACCATGGTGACCACAGGTAACGGTGAATCAGGTTTCGATTCCGGAGAGGGAGCCTGAGAAATGGCTACCACGTGCAAGGAAGGCAGCAGGCGTGCAAATGACCCACTCCCGCCGCGGGAAGGTAGTGACGACAAATAACAATACAGGACTCTTTAGAGGCCCTGTAAATGTAATGAGTCCACTTGAAATCCTTTTAACTCTGATCAATTGGAGGGCAAGTCTGGTGCAGAGCGACTGACCCGTGCGTGCTGCAGCTGAAACTCCACTATAGTCTGCTGCTCGCACTGTCTCGGTGAGCGGGAAGGCCGAAGTTACGTCAGGCGAGTAGCAGCAGGGTGAGAACACTGAAAGCGCCCACAGCAGCTACAGTGAATGTCACATCCTGTTCCAAGTTGCAGATCAGTCTTGTGATGGCTTCTGGTTTCCAGTACTCTTTTTACTGAAGTTGCATCAGGGTCCTGGTATGTGGCCGCACAAAAACTGGTTACCCTGTACCAGACCCTGCTAATCCATTTCACACTGTGACTCCTAACTTCAACATCAGGCATACTGGGTCCCGGTCATCTGACCGCCACCCAGACAGTGTCTCTGTGCGACCAGCGCCTCTTCCTCCAAACTGCACACGTCACTCGCATGACCTTGATTCCATGTGGGGTCTAGGACCTCCTCATCCTCCACATCATCTTCCACGCACTCCTCTACCCTCCATGCTGGTCTGCACACTGCAGAAAGCCACAGCAGTTGGCGCCTGTGTTTTTCCAGCATGTAAACTCTGCAAAGGACGTATTGGTTTAGGACGTATTGTTTTAGAATTGTATCCAGGCAACAGTTTTCCCTATAAACTGACTTGTGAGGGTATTGCCCCCGAATTACAATATTGTTATATTGGTATTTGACGGTTCTATTTGACTGTCAGATATGAAGTGCAGGCCGCAAATGGTACTATTTAGCACCCCAAAAAAATATGAATTGGTCAAACTGCGCTGTAACCACAATATTTGACGGTTCTATTTGACTCTCAGATATGAAGTGCACCTGTAACGGACCGTTTCAGCACACAAGGGGTTAAAACAGTTTAGGCGATCGTCCCCTTTCAGAGATGCAGGCACAGCTACTGTAGAACACCAAACTCCCGAACCGCATGTAAGGGAATACTTCAAACTCCCGAACGGCATACAATATAGCACTCCAAACTCACGAACTGGAACCATACGAATAGCTGCTATCAGACGAATAGGAAAAGCACCCAAGCGGCTTACACTCCTAGCAATCAGTCTCTATCAGCATTCAGTAACTATTAAAATACACTACGTGACACAAGTTACACTAAAACTATACATTTAACATATCCCCAGATAGCTCAGGTCTGAGCGCACATTATTGAGCGAATGGCGCTCAGACCACACAAATACAGTTTAATCGCCATGGAGCCAAAGTCTTCACAAAGTCAGTTCTCATACGAATGAGCTCCATGGGATTCCTATCTGGGGTATAGTGCAGTCAGGTACAACTACCGAATACCGGGCCGTTCGTGCACTTCCACCAAACAAGAAGGGCGGTCGGCGGCTTCAGCGGTGTTAGCTCCAAACTGTGTCCATTTTTAGTTCCATGAGTTAAGCATCGAACACCGCTGTGCGTCTGCGTGTTAACAATGGCCGCGACCTTGTGTTCGGTATACGAATGACGGCCACCCAGTATTCGTCAATTAAGCTGCGGTTAACCGCAGCTTCTGGGAGGCTAATTGCTGGCACACTCCAGCTCCCGGTGGTCTAGTCATTCGTGCGGTTGTTCGGTAGATTGAATCTACCGAACACGGTGCAGAAAAGCGCGAATAAGTCTTTTCTGCAGGGGAAACAAAGTCTTTTAACATGGGGCCATAATCCAAAGGCAGCAAGCGAGCAACCAGGCTTCTCCAATGCAATGTGGTGAGGTTGCTCTTGTCACAGCACCGCAGGCAGCAAATGTACTATTTAGCACCAAAAAAATGTGAATGTTTAAAACTGTCACAGCACTATTAGACACTTCTATTTGACTCTCCGATCTGAAGTGCATGGCCTATATTTACTATTTAGCATATTAGCACCCAGAAAATAATAATGTTTACAATTGCGCTGTAACCGCAGTATTTGACGCTTCTGTTTGACTCTCAGATTTTAAGAGCACACTCCAAATTTACTATTTAGCAGATAAGCACCAAAACAATTAGAATTTTTACAACTACGCTGCAACCGCAGTATTTGACGCTTCTATTTGACTCTCAGATATGAAGTGCACACCAAATGTACTTTTTAGCACCAAAAAAAAAAAATTTTGAAACTCTGATGTAACCATAGTATTTGACTCTGATATGAAGTGCACTAGTTTACAGAATTCTTTCCTAATCTGTCCCTGAAAGAGGCCGCATCCTCTCCCTCCACTAATAAGAGCTCATATGACGTGCGGCGCTACGTGACTCCAGCTTATATATAGAGGCTGGGTCACATGCTGCACTGGCCAATCACAGCTATGCCATTAGTAGGCATGGCTGTGATGGCTTCTAAGGGCACACGAGTCAAACGCTTGTTGATTGGCTGCCCTGCAGCCTTTCAAAATGCGCCATTAAATCGCCGAACTCCAACCCAAACATACAGTGATATGTCCATGCTCGGGTCCGGGGTTCTAAAAAACATAATGTTCGGTACGAATCCGAACTTTACAGTCCGGGTTCGCTCAACTCTAGTAGAAACCAATAACACAAGTAGATATTACTTGAAGAATCACATAATTCATAAAAAAAAAAAAAAGTCCGTATGAACCATAAAAATTGTGGCAACTACTAAATTATAAGTAGGCAATGTAGGCCAACAACGTCAGGACCTACATGCAAAGATAAAACTATTGTAAATAGTACTAATTATTTCAAACAGTAGAATCAAATTGATTAGAGACTGTAATGCAAGATCAGTAGGTGGTGGGCAATAGGCAGGACACTGATTAAAAGGTGGTAACCAGGGGCACAGTATCCATTGTGGCAACAGACATGTAATAAGCAGGATAGTAGAAGATATTTAGTTGTCCTTCTGAGAACAAGCAACCGCATACTTAAACTGACCTTATCTTCAGATAATGATGAAGTACTTATGGCAGAGCCTGTGGTGGTAAGATCATTCTGCAGTTTGTTTTATCTGCAAAGATATCAACACCAGTCCAAGCATATAATCCACAATAATAATAACAATGCAATGTTAGGAATGACCATCACATATATGGATTTAGGTACAGAGACCATGTGAAACATATCAGCCAAATGTTTGTCACAAACAAGCTACAATATTAAATTATGCAGGATGACTCAACAGCTTAAAGCGATACATTGGCTGCAAAGTCCAGATAGTAGTGCACCCAAAACAATCTCCATGAATATCAGAACAGAGGTCAGTAATGGAACTTCAAGTTCAGCGATTTCCCTTAATTTTTCTGGTAGCAAGTGAATTTTACCTGAAATAGTAAACCTGGTAGAATGGTCTGGTGACTGAAGGACCCTCCAATGTCATTTAAAATACTTGCAATAACCAGCATCAAAGTTACATGGAGCATATGAGTCCAAAATTATACCTTTTATTGCAGAATGGAAATTATAATGTTTTATCTTCACAACAGGGGAATCTGTGGGAAAGTCTGATACCTAACCCCTTAAGAACCAAACAAATGCCAGTACTGACATTTAAATGGATTGCCAAACTCAAGGTCCCCAAGGGATAAAATAGCAGAGTACTGAATATAACCAATACCACATGTTCAACTTATAAAGATTATGCATTAAGGAAGTTAATTTAGTTCTAAAGAATAATCTAAAGCCTCCAGAGCATTTAGCTGAAATCTGAATAAAAACTATAAACCGGACCAGGATTAGTGAATTTTTTAAAGTAGAATTTTGCATACAATAAAACATCACTAAAGTTATGACCAGGTGAAACAAAAGGCCATTATCAATATATTTAAAATCAAAGTTAAATTAGATTAGATACAGTAAAGCATACCAGTGAAAACAATTAGGTAATTGCTTCAAAGTTACCAAGTCATGGGAGCAATAAATAGCCCAAGTAGTGCACCTGCAAACAGCTGGGTCTACTAAGCTGTGCATCTTAAGTCAGGAATACATATTAAGTTTAAACACTGCCACCAAAGATTCAGTATCCTGATCAGTGGTACCTGGTAAGAGAAATACTTTGGTAACACCATATCTCATTTATATGCATAGGTGTGAAAACATAAAGCAGATTTAACAGCTATTGAACATTACCAAATTACAAATAAGTAAATTAAAATAAATGTTAAAAAAAAATTATATATGAAATTTTGTTGTAACTGTGTTTTTATATTAATACATACATATTTATATCAAAATACACTTAGAAGTTAATTATATATACTAAGATTATTTGAACCCGATAAATTGAGACTGTTTTCACAGAACATCGTGCACAGATTTTATCACTCACATATACTGAAACTGTGACTAACAGCAACCCAGACACAGAACTTGTGTTAGATCTATATACTTAAGTTGTTTTTAGAACAGATACACATGTTAAATGGACGCCTATGTAGAGGTTGTATCTTTTATATCTTCACATGTGTTTCACACTAAAATATAGCGCGTGCATACATACTGAGGCTGTCTCTTCACAGAACTTATACACAGAGCATATAGTACAGGTAAAAACAGAAAGTGTGCAATAAAATGGCGCTACGAAGGTGCCGCCAAAACCCCAAAAAGGAATAAATAAACCAATTCCCCAAATATACAACAATACAACAAAGACACACTAGGTGGCGCACTCAGCATGCAAACAAAAAGTGAAAATGCAGAGGATTTTTTTTTTCCCTCGGGACGGCATTTGAAGATACATAACAGGAAGACGCTAAACGGAAATATGTCGCCGGAAGTTCCTGCTACGCCATTTTACATACTGGCGAAATCACAGAAACTGGGACCAAGCTTTTTGTTCCAGGTATATCTTGTGTTTTGGTGGAAGGTACATCCAATATGGCAAAGGAGAGGGCTCTTGTCTCATGTGTACCTGTTTCCGGGTTAATTTAGAGGGGTATATATTCATCTAGGTGACCGGACACACTTCATTACACCTGATGACCCACTGAGGTCGAAACGCGTTGTTTTTAAAGAATCTGTAGCTGAAGACTGAATTTTCATGTAAGATTTTACTATTTTTTTCTGTTTAATAAATTATGTTTATCTTATTTGGTGCCTTTCCATTCACATATGTTGGGAGATAGGCTTTTTGCTGGAGTGAATACTGTACTACCATCACCACTTCAATAAACGCTTGTTTGTTTACAGGCTGTAAAAAATGTGAGTGGGATGTGAATATATAATCCTATACATATATATGGGAGATCTTTATATGTTCTTGGACTATACTGCTCCATGTCAAGTTCATTCTTTTACAGCCATTTACCAAGAAAATAAACAAATTGGGTATTTACTTATTTATTTATTCTGCATTTGCACTTTTTGTTTGCATGCAGAGTGCGCCACTTAGTGTGTCTTTGTGATAGAGCATATAGTGCAGACATATACTGAGGCTGTGTCCTCATAGTAACTCATGCATATAGTGGACACACATACTGAGGCTGAGTGTTCAGACCAATTCATACATAGAACATGTACACATTTACTGAGCCTGTGCTCTCATACCAGCTCATACACAGAGATATCAGCAACACACACTGAGGCTGTGTGATAACCAACCTATAAAAGGTCTTCACACCAGTTCATTCAGAGGATATCTTTATCTCATATGCTGATTTTAGAGAAGCTGGAACATCCAAACAATATAGTAATTTCCACTCTGAAAAAGTCTGCTTATGTGCTACAAAGCACATATAACAGCAATCATTGCCTCATGCCTTGATAGTGTCTACATGGACTATGTGTCAGGTTGTAAAACCCTTGACACATACATTTGTGTAATTCAATCATTCAGTTAGGAAAGCTTTCTCTTAGCGTGTGTCTTCACTGTCTTCAGGACTGTGGTGTTCAGGCAGACTTTATACAGCCAGGATAAAATTATCAGCACTCTTTTGGAACATGCATCCTTGTAATATTTGCACACTTTTTGAACAGGTATCATTGCATTTATAAATTTACCTAAATGCTCACCACACAAACCTTCTTAATGTGACCCATTTGTTACAAGGAAGCCTAATATAAGCAACTGGGAGGAACTGAAAGAAGAGGAACCCAGGTGCCTAAGCTAGTTTTCAATTTAAATTACTAATGCACTCACCTGAGAAGTAAAACATACTAAACAGCCATGGAGACATATGAATAGCTGCAGGCCCAAATTTGAGCAGCAAATGGGGATTTGAACAACTGAAACAAACCCCTGTTATGGTAGAATATGGCATGCCCAGGTAATCACCTTATGGAAGTGCTGATTACTGGGTCTTAAGGGAAAAGAGGCATAGCCCCAGCTGGGCCTCATGTATGCAGTGGACTCCTTTTTTATCCCCTGAGGGAGGGAGTTAGGTCAAACCCCTGGTCGCTGAAAGAGATATCCATGCAGGCAACTCATAGAAATGTGCTGTTGCTGGATCTTCAGGGATTAGAGGCTGAACCCTGGCTGGGCCTCATGTAGGCAGTGGACCATATTCATCCCCTGAGGGAGAGAGTTGGGTCATACCCCCAGACAATAAAGGGTTTACCCAGACTGGCACCTCATAGAGATGTGCTGTTGCTGGGTCTTCATGGCTTAGAGGTTGAATCCTGGCAGGGCCTGAAAAATATTGGCCTGATGAGCATTAAAAATAAAATTAAAAAAAATTCTAGGCCTGCTTAAGAAAACTTCTTCCAAATGGCTGTAAAGGACAGGAAAAAGACTGCCTGATGGGAAGGGGGAGGATCTATTTATACCAACGTCAGAGTTCTATTTCCTGTCCTTTCGGCTGTGAGGGGAGGAGCAGACCCATGAGTAAATGCTACCATGATTTATCAGGAAATATTTGTTTAGAAACAAGGCTTTTATTTTACATCAACTTTTTATATATGAAACATAATTTAATATGAATAAAATTTATAAAAAGTGTGAAAAATTAAGAAATTATTTTCTTAGTTCTGCATGGTGTTTTAACTGTGAATGTCATAATACTGTTAGCTTTTACTCCAAGAAAATAAACATTTGTGTTGAGTGATATTTCAACAGTACTGGGGGGCATGTACAGGTTTTATGGGTTTGGAAAGTCAAATATAGGGCTTTCCTCCTTTTCAATTTTTACACATTGAAATTTGTCAGATTGGTTTGCGAGGCCCATGTTGCCTTTTTTGAAACTGTATGGCAGCCCAGGAATGAAAATTACCCCCATTGTGGCATACCATTTTGAATACCCAGGGTATGTACAGTCTTCTTGTGGTGGTTATTTTTTTTTTTTTTTATTTATTTTTTTTTTATTTTTTTTTTTTTGTAGTCACAAATCCTGGCCAATACGTGGGTTGCCAGGCAGGTCCCTCAAATTGTAATTGATAAAATCATATAAGAATGTAAAAAGATTACATACATATACACGGGCAAGAGCTGTCTTGTGCTAATTTAGCTCACTAGCTTAGAGTGTCAGTCTGGGCTTTGCTATGGTAATGCGTTTTCCAGCAGCTCTGCCGGGTTCCTCTTGCGAGATCTGAGCGTTGGCACGGCAATGCTCAGATCTCGGGAAAGTGAACTCTAGCCCTCTCCACTGGACCACCAGGGGGATATTAACTGATCTGCCCCCACCTCCACTCCCACAATCACCTAAACATACAGCACACACACAGCACCTACACACATACAGCACCCTCTCACACACACACAAAGCACCTTCACACACACAGCACACTACCAGCACCCTCACACTGCACACTAACAGCATGGTGTGTGTGTGTGTGTGTATATATATATATATCTATATATATCTCTATATCTGTCTGTCCGTACATACATGCGTGTATGCGCGGCACACTAATGCAATGTGCTGCGCATGCCTGTGAACTGATAAATGGACACTTTTCCTGGCATCTTCACACTTCTTCAGACACTCATTGATGCTGTGCTTTGTATCTGAATAGAGTTTGTGCCTATCTCTATTCAGAGAGAAAGCATAGCAGTCCTGTGTCTGAAGAGCAGTGAAGCTGACAGGAGATCCTCTGACTGCCATGGTTGTTCCCATATTGGCACATTCAATGCCAGGTTGGAGGGAACTATGTTGCTCTCTTCATCTTGAGACTGTACTTACAGTGCATAACCAGGTGGAGAAAGTTTGTTCTTTCTTCTGGCATCTATATATGACAACTATGCACGATGCCTGCTTTTCCTGCATTCCTAGGGATGAGACACTGGTTAGATCAGTGTTACCCAGGGTGGGCATGGATAGTGCACAGATACAGTTACAAGAAAAAGTATGTGAACACTTTGGAATGATACGTATTTCTGCACAAATTGGTCATGAAATGTGATCTGATCATCATCTAAGTCACAACAATAGACAATCACAGTATGCTTAAACTAATAACACACAAAGAATGAAATGTTGCAATGTTTTTATTGAACACAACATGTAAACATTCACAGTGCAGGTGGAAAAAGTATGTGAACCCCTAGACTAATGACATCTCCAAGAGCTAATTGGAGTGAGATGTCAGCCAACTGGAGTCCAATCAATGAGATGAGAGTGGAGGTGTTGGTTACAGCTGCCCTGCCCTATAAAAACACACACACCAGTTCTGGGTTTGCTTTTCACAAGAAGCATTGCCTGATGTGAATGATGCCTCGCACAAAAGAGCTCTCAGAAGACCTACGATTAAGAATTGTTGACTTTCATAAAGCTGGAAAGGGTTATAAAAGTATCTCCAAAAGCCTTGCTGTTCATCAGTCAAGGGTAAGACAAATTGTCTATAAATGGACAAAGTTCAGCACTGCTGCTACTCTCCCTAGGAGTGGCCGTCCTGTAAAGATGACTGCACAGCACAGACTGCTCAATGAGGTGAAGAAGAATCCTAGAGTGTCAGCTAAGGACTTACAAAAGTCACTGGCAAATGCTAAAATCCCTGTTAGCGAATCTACAATATGTAAAACACTAAACAAGAATGGATTTCATGGGAGGATACCACAAAGGAAGTCCCTGCTGTCCAAACAAAACATTGCTGCACGTTTACAGTTTGCACAAGAGCACCTGGATGTTCCACAGCAGTACTGGCAAAATATTCTGTGGACAGATGAAACCAAAGTTGAGTTGTTTGGAAGAAACACACAACACTGTGTGTGGCAAAAAAAAAGGCACAGCACACCAACATCAAAACCTCGTCCCAACTGTGAAGTATGGTGGTGGGGGCATCATGGTTTGGGGCTGCTTTGCTGCGTCAGGGCCTGGACGGATTGCTATCATCGAATAAAAAATGAATTCCCAAGTTTATCAAGACATTTTGCAGGAGAACTTAAGGCCATCTGTCTTACCACCTGAAGCTCAACAAAAGATGGGTGTTGCAACAGGACAATGACCCAAAGCATAGAAGTAAAACAACAACAGAATGGCTTAAACAGAAGAAAATACGCCTTCTGAAGTGGCCCAGTCAGAGTCCTGACCTCAACCCGATTGAGCTGCTGTGGCATGACCTCAAGAAAGTGATTCACACCAGACATCCCAAGAATATTGCTGAACTGAAACTGTAAAGAGGAATGGTCAAGAATTACTTCTGACCGTTGTGCACGTCTGATCTGCAACTACAGGAAATGTTTGGTTGAAGTTATTGCTGCCAAAGGAGGTTCAACCAGTTATTAAATCCAAGGGTTCGCATACATTTTCCACCTGCACTGTGAATGTTTACATGGTGTGTTCAATAAAAACATGGCAACATTTCATTCTTTGTGTGTTATTAGTTTAAGCAGACTGTGATTGTCTATTGTTGTGACTTAGATGATGATCAGATCACATTTAATGACCAATTTGTGCAGAAATCCATATCATTCCAAAGGGTTCACATACTTTTTCTTGCAACTGTACAGAAAGAAACCATCCTGAGTTATGTGATTAGTAGTAAAACTGTCTAAAAATGTTGATAAAATTATGGATTGTATCTAACAGCAGCATGTTACTTGTGTTTTCTGTGCATTTCATTTATTTGCATGGATAGTTTCTTTAACGTTTTTTTTTCTCTCAAGATGGATACACTTTCTATTCTGTGTCCCAGGAAAAATTCCTAGATGAACTGGAAAATGAAGCAAAAGTGGCACGAGCCAATTTTCCTAAAACTTCTGCCAACTGAACAGAATCATTTTAGATGGGGACCGTCTTCATATGAAGGAGCTGGAGGACTTATTTTCAATACTTTGCCTATTAAAGTCTGTGTATCCCAAGAAACATGATCATTCATCTAGGAGTTGGGTTGTTTACAATCTTTTCAGATTGCAGTAGTTTGGCTTGTCTATATTGATTATGCTAGTATATTTAAAATAAAGTGCTTTCTATGAACTGAGTTTGTCCTGAAACAGACCTGGAATACTTGATTTAAAATGGTTGTATAGTGACATTTTTTACATGTGTAAGTCCCTTATTTTTATAATTTTCTATTATAATAAATGGGGAATCATTGTAATGGAAATTTGCACTGTAAATTGCTCTGTTTATTTTTATTTGGGCTCCACTGGCAGATAATACATGAGAAAGGAAAAACATGCAAATAAGATACTCCTTTTTTTTAAACTTTTGCTAAAAATCTGAAATTTGCATTTACCGTATAGTTAACAAATCCTGCTGACACAGCAGTCTGAGAGTCCATCCACCATAACCACTTTAATAAGTGCAAGTGGTTATGGTGCTTTGAGTGCAGGAATGTGTAGTACAAGATTGTGTGTGCTTTCGTGAAGTAATTATCCACTATAATATCACATGTCAAATTCGTAAGGCTATAGGCAATAGAATAAAGGTAGGCAGGAACAGAAATCTCATTGTGCAATAACCTACATGAAGGATAAGTGGCTTTTTCAGAAAATATTTTACACTGTTTGGATTGTGTGGTATTGGTAATACTGAGAGGGACTGAGTTTTTCTCATCTATCTAGCTGTCACATTATAGTCAATTATATTTTATTCCAATAGGGGCTGCTCTTACACAACACTTAATCTACAGCAGTGCAATAGAAATTCTGGAAATGTCGCACATGTTACTTGGGTTATCTTCTTCCATCTCCAACTGACTTTTAGTAACAGATGAAGTAGTTTCCTAGTAAGTCTATCTTTATGTTTGATATTTGACAGCATTTTTTAATATCACGATTGTTTAGGCTCTGGGCATCATTACCATTACAATACTTGGTCCTGGTTATGATACCAGGAGTACCTTTTTTACTCCATTGATAAAGCCTGTAAAGGTGAAACGCGTTATGGACATTTAATATTGTGTGTTTTAACTTATGGTTTTTTGGTCACCTTTGTGTGCCAATCTCCTTTGTTATATGCACTTTCCCTGGTAATTTTAAATTTTATACTTCAGGTAATCCCAAGGTGGGGATAATACCACCAACGCTGTGTTCATAGAGCAGTTAGCCTGCTCTATCATTGTAAGTATAATTTTACTTCATTTTATTAGCGATTACTCTATTTTATTGAGAGCACTATCTGTTGCCTTTTTATTCCTTCCTGAGTGTGTGGGCGTGGTGGACATTTGCTGCATATCCTTTAAAGTGGGGATTATACCGCTGTATGCCTATACTGCTAGAGCTGGCTATAGCTCTTCCAAATCTGAACTGGGGACAATACATCCTATCAAGCACTGACCATTTTCATCTTTGGATTATAAAAACTTTCTTTGTGAGATTTTTGCACCAGATCTAGTTCTGCTTTTGTGCCAAATAAGTTGTACTATTAGTGTTTACCTGTGGCACAGTGCTTCCATTTTCTTTTGTTGTTCTTGTTCTCTCCAAAGGGTTTTGAGGGATTCCCTTTGCTTGGGCCACTGCCTACCCATTTGTGTGATGTAATTATTCAGAGTTTAATTATGTCGGTCTTGCAAATATTGCAAGACCATAATAGGAAGTACCTACAATGGCTATCTACGTGACAACCACTAGAGGTGTTCTTAAAGTGTTACTCTAACTAAAAACAGTGGTTTAATACAAAACAGTTTTTGCTAGTAGTAACCCGTGATGACAAAGTCTCCCTTGTATAGTGTCAAAAAAACACACAAAAAAACATTCTACCATGCTGAGGCCAAGTTCCCCCTGCAGCCAAATCCTCTTCTATTGACATCACTCTCCCCAATGGAAGGAATGTCTGAAGCCCAGGCTGTGGTAACGACTTGGGAGGCACAGAGGAAGGTACTATGCTGCCTTTGACATTGGATTAAAGACTTTATTCACATTAATCAGTCTTATAGCAATGCAGTGTAAACAGGGTTAAAGTTTTGCTCACATCAGGAGACCCCTATATCAGTGGATACCTGGGCTCCCCATTCAGCACTGCAAAAAGCCCTTTATATCCAATCAGAACACAGTGACTGAGCGATCGCGCTTAGCTGTGGTGATTCTAGGGCTGTGAGCTGCTTAGGATAGAGTCCCAGGATGTATGTCCCCAAGCCAGTTGTAATTGGTGCTGGGCTTTGTCAGATGCCCAGCACAGATCAGTGTGATCGGATGAGAAATCATACTTCATTCACTATTACAGGAATATGTTCCTGTAATACTGGAAAAGCCAGTAGATTGGTGCAACATACCACTCCCTACTGTTTTACCTAGGAAACCCATCTACTGATATTAGCAGAGGGTTTCCTTAGGATTAACTGTAGGGTTAATGTAAGCCATGAGTTAATTAATGATAGATTTGTGTTAATGCTGTTTTAGGATTAGCTATAGTGTAAAGTTACATGTATGGATAAAGTTAGGGTAGGTATATGGTCAGTGTAAGTAGAGGGAAAGGAGTATGATTGGTATAGTGTTGGAGGGGTTGCTAGCACTAATAACTAAACATTAGTTTAGATCCTTGACATATTAGGCATTTAAAGGATCGCTATAGGGTTAGGAACACAATCCTGTAACTGTCAGGGGTGGTGGTCCGGTGACCGGGACCCAGTATGCCTGATCTTGATATTAGGAGTCACTATGTGGAAATGGATAATTAGGGCCAGGTGCAGGGTAACCACACGCCCCCTAGTGTTGAGCACCAGCGTTTGTGCAGGGCCCCGATGCAGCTACTGCAGAACCCAGGTACCAGATGACAATAAGCAGACCTCCCAGGATCTGAATAGGGAGGCTTTCCAGCAGATATGTATCCAGTACAGAAACAAGGCAAGACTAGACACCAAACAAGACAAAACTAGGAGAACCCAGAACCGGAGCAGGACAGAAAGCAGAACCCAGAACATGTACACAAGACATGAGGAAAGAATGAACAGGGCAGAACAAGACTGTACATGAACTGGGAATACAGGACGAGATACACGGCAAAAAAAGGAGACTTAACTAAATACTATATGTAAAACATTGGAGATTTCAACATACATAAATGGCCAAGATGTATGCAGCCCACCACTGCGTCAAAGTACTCCAATTAAGGTGGGACCTATCTGCCTAGATATGCATGACTAAATAAACAATAATAAAACACACACAGCACTTACCTGTAAGAAATGGGCAGAGGACTTGTAGCAACTGCCTGCAGGAACCAACTGAAACAAAAGGATCATGGAAAAGGAACGGGTGTGGCAACATAAAACAAACATTTAAAGGAATCCAAGAGAATCGGAATTCCTGGAACGGAATACAGGAATGAACCCAGAAAAATGGGATTATTTAAAAGTTGCACTATTGAAGGCAACAGAAAATTGCATTAGGCTTGTCAGTAAAAGCAAAAAATTCAAGAAACCACTGTGGTAGAAGCCTGTGGCTGCTCACTGTAAAAAAAACTATTGGCCCCCACCCCTAAACGACGGGTGGGGGCCCTAAAATAAAATAAGGGGGGGGAGACCAAATGACCTACTGCCCCCCCCCGGCCCCCACCCCTGGGCGGCGGGTGGGGGCCATAAGGAGAATGGGGGGGGACCTACTGCCCCCCCCCGGCCCCCACCCCTGGGCGGCGGGTGGGGGCAATAATGAGGGGGGGACCTACTGCCCCCCCCCCCGGCCCCCACTCCTGGGCGGCGGGTGGGGGCCTTAGTGAGAATTAGGGG